TTATCTGTTTGCAAATAGTTGCGATAGATGGGAAGTGTTCTGGAAAATAATACAAAACAAAAATTAAACCCAAAGCTTGTGAAGACTTTTAATAATATCGACCAGCAGCACTCAGCTTTATTTAAAAAACTCCTATTTCTCTGCTACTTTAAAGTGGAATTTAGCTTTCCTAGTTTCCTTCTTACACACTGCTATTTATGAATTTGATGTGGTAGTTGGCTTGACAGATGATAGGACTGTTTGCAAGTTACTCATGTTTGGATCCGTATGTGAAAACTTCTATCCTTTTTTTAAGCACTAACCTCATCTTGTTCTTTTTTATCTATTTTTTATTTTTTTTCTTTTAATGAAAGCAGAACTACCCCGGCTTTTTTTTTTTTCCTCTAATTAATCTTCCTTAAACATACGGCAGCAACTCAACGATTATAAACGACCCCTAAACTCTCTGTGTGTATTAAGGCCTAAAGCTAATCTCGTGGGGTTTTAAATTTAGCTTCATTTTTCTATAAAAAGTCTGACTACTGTAAAATTATTTTAAATGACTCTACGTGCTGCTGGAATGCTGTGTGTGGATCCGTGTGCACGCCGGGGCCAAGGACAGAGCCAGAACTGCGTATTTCTCATCCAAGGGAGAATACAGACAGCGAGAAAGATGTAGCACGGTATGTTCTTGTCAGAGATCACACACAAACTGCCTAAAACACAGCTTATGATCCTCCCACAATGGGATATTTTTACTACCCTTAATGACGCCAGGCAGGTGTTTACAGTTATGATGTATGTCCGTCTAAAGTTGGAATTAAGCACAGACACAAAATAGCAAAGCTTGACGCACTAGACCATGACATACTGTACGCACTGCAATTAAAATAAACTCTACTCCTGATCTTTTTTTCTTTTTCTTTTTTTTATGAGGAAACAAGAAAAGCTATGGAGATGCTTTCTGGTTTGTGGAAAGCTGCAAACTATTCTGAGAGGTGTAAAAAAATAATTTGCGGGATGAACTATATTTCTCTAAAACACCTTTTCAGTCTTGGCTCGCTCTTTGCCAGGTGATTTTGGAGGAGGAGGAAGGAAGGGAGCTTTCCATCTGTTGAGGTGTTAGGATTCTAAACACGTCCCTAAGTTAATTTTGACTCTTTAAAGTGTGAGATAAGTTAATATACTCTAAACCAATATATCATGTCAATCAACAGTGCTTTTCTCAATATCAGCCCACTCATTTCCGCCGCCTGCTTGCTGGCTCTAGAGGCTTCTTGCTCTAAAACTATGTTTCCCCTAAGAAATGAAATGTTCAGGGGGTATCAACAAATCATAGATGCCTCTAATAAAATAAACATGAATAGCATGAATGGAAATAGAGAGGCTGGCATTGTTTGTTCCCTTATTGTGTTTATGTAGCAATTTACCTAAATATTTGCAAACGTTCAGAAATACAAAGTAACACCTTTTTTTTTTTAAAAAAAAGCAGAAGGCAAAAAATATTATAAAGAAACATTATCTATTTTGTAAAATAACACTAAAATAGATACATCCCACAGTGGTTTTTTTCTGCATCTATTTCCAGTCTTTTCAAAACAGGCATAGAAGTCTCTGAAGTATATTAACGTTTGCCAGATACTATAAATCCAAAATATTTGGAATATTATATCATCATCCTGTCAGAATGTATGAGCAAACTTACTAAGTCTAGGTCTGCCTATTCCAACGTACTTTCCTGAAGGAATTGAAGAACTCATTGAATTGAGCATACAATGTTATGCTTTAAGAATCTAGAGACTTATAGAACCTTGAAGTTGTACCTGGACCATCAGGTTTAGTAGGAAATTCAGGAAACATAGTCCATAAATCTGCCTAATCCCTCTACATATTTGTTCTCTTCAGCGTTCTGTGATAATGGGTTCTACAAATATAAATAGTGCAAAAATCAATTTCTTCCATTAACTAGAAATTTATTTACAAACTAAAAATTTTAGTCAGTATATCAGTTTGCACATTTGCATACCCTTCTACCTTCTCTCCTACCTCTTCTCCAAGCTGCAAAAATGTAATTCATTATGGTTCACCTTACAGTCCATATGAAAGATATTCCATGCTTTTGATCAATCAAGGACTTTCTAGTTTTGCTAGGTTCTTTTCTTAAATTAATCAAACAAAATTGCATGCAGTATTCAAAATTTAAATTTACCAAATGACACAACTTTACAAACTGATTGATCCAGCAGTACATATTATTTTCCTGATTTGCTTTAAATTCCTCTGCTAGTAATACCTAATATTCTATATGCTTTTTGACCAGTGATGAACACTGGGCTAATTTTTTAGAGAACTATTAATAATTATTCCCAGTAGGAATTACCCAAGTAAAGGGTGGAAAAAGGAAGTGAGCATTAGTATAACACCAGAGAACATCTAGTTTATTACTGAAGTGTCAACTTAAGCATTTAAATAGCCGAAGATAAACAATACTTTCCAGTAAATATTGGTTTTTCACTTCTCCCCTCCCCATGTTTTAACATAAAAAGGAAAACCAACACTGCTCCCATCACCTCCCCATCCTACCCCATTCTCCCCCCTGAAAGCCAAGCAACCCTAATACTAATTTCAATATGAGCCTCTGATGCAGCAACGTCTTGGGGACATGTCTAACTTTCAGGATGAGTCACAACACTGTGACTCAGAATCAATAGTAATTTTAATGTGCAAAAAAAAATTAAAATGTCTCAAGATCCTTACTTAGTTAGCATCCTGTTTCACTAGGTACTGCCTTATGGTTTTCCCGGTAGGATGAACAGAAGCTCGGCTGCCTTGATAAAATGGTCATGGGAGAGAACTTTCCCCTGTGGAATCCATGGAGTCTTGAAACAGTGGAGATTTATATACACCCAAAGGTCAACAGACTCCACGCTGCTAGCAAGAAAATAATGCAGATTCTTTTCTTTGATCAAAAATGAAGCAGTACCCTAAAATAATTTGAAATAATCATATGAGTTTGCCCTATTTCTTTTTTGTTGCTTTCTACTGAACACGTACCTCTAAATTGTCAGCTTACCATCTGTTTCACATGATGAGTTCAAAGTTGTGTTCAGGTGCCCATTCTGTCTGTTTTCCCACTATTGCAAATTCCAGGCAAAAAATCCTATGCCATTGTCTCCAATGCATTCACAGTGAGACCCAAGGTTACAAACTGAAGCATGTAAATTTATGTTGTTGTTTTCTACCTTGTAGCAAGCAGAATATTCCTTCAAGTTTTAAAAATGTCACCATCTTCTGCTTGCACAAATGCAATATAGGAAATTTCACATACTCCCCAGGGACTAGCTTGGATTCCTACTGGAAAGGAACTGATATGAAGTTGATAGAGGTGACTGGCAAACCCTAATAATTATCAATCTGAAATTGAAGCATGGAAAGGAAATGCATATTATTGGAACTTACAAAGAAACAGATCCTAATTTAAAGTGTTTCCAGGCAGACCTGAAAATTGTTAATTTTTTTTGGGATGGGGACAGAGTATTTGGAATTCATTTATTTAGCACTTTAGAATATTGTTTTGCTTTTATTTATTTAAAGGAGATAAACATGTACATACATAAATATATTAGTAGAAAATATTATCTCTATTTTGACAGAGAAATGAGCATAGGCATGTGATCTAAACATAGAAGTATAAAATAATAATAGTAATAATAATAATAAGGGAGAGAAGAGGGGCAGGGAGAGTGATTTCCTTATCTCCTCCAGGAACAAAATAAGGCACTTAAATTTTTTAAGTCTGTAAAAGATATAGGTGAAAAGTTGCTTTACCAGCTTTCCTTATTCACCTTTAATATTATAAGTTTACCTAACTTGAGTCATTGAGTGGTTCCCTTCCATCCCCAGACTACTTGCACGGGACTCATCAACCATATTCATGATATTCATTTCATTGGTTTCAGCCTTCTAATTCAGGGAGGCAAAACAGACATTCCATAAACACTGATGGAAGATGTATAAAAAACAATGATGTAACCCATTACAACTTTGCTTTGGCATGGTTGCATTTTTGTGCTAAACCACAAAACTCCCCTTTTGTACAATAGTTCCTTCATTTGCCTCATGTAAAACTGGAACAGTATTGATATTATAGTACTAACTTGAACTACAAGTTCAGTAAGATGTAAACTGAGGTGAAGAAAGGAGAAAGGTCAGCCTGACAATTATATCTCACAGCCTATCTGCTTCTTGGTTATTTGAACATATTAAAACAATTATGTGTATATATATATATGTGTATACATACAGAAGTGTCTCTTATATGTGCTTCTCTATTTCCATCACCTATAATCTACTCTAAATGTCATGTTGACTGTTAAACTCAAATATATTTTGAGGAAGGCTTTGGTTCTCAACCATTCTTAGCTGAATAATACAGACATTTTTCTGACTGAAAGCAAATCTGATCACTCATGCTCACAAATTTACCCCTTATTGTTGTGTGTTTGTCTTGTTAATATTTAAATATGCTTTCCCACAATCATGTGGGGGGGGGAAAAAAGCTTTAAGCATTTAAATAAAGCCTTGTAAAAACAACTTCAAGTACCTTGTGATAGGAAAACACCAACAATCCAATTCTCCCTCTCTCTCTCTGACACACACACACAGTGCAACAAACTTAAAGCAACATCACACAGGGAAAACAAAATTTTGAAAATCTAGCAAGGACAAAAAGTAATCTTTCATGATCAGAAAATTATTTTTAGATGTTTAAAGAATTCTAGACATAGTGTTCCCTGTACAATTTTAAATTCAAACACTGAAGTTACAAAGGTAACTTTTGCTCATAATGCCATGCTGCAAGAATTCTACAAATGGTTCCTCAAAACCTCAAATACTTGTGCCCTTGTAAATTGGAAAGCAGGACCAGAGAGTAAACAGTAAAATGTTCTGTTTATGGAATAGAAAGAAATAAAACATCATAGAAATAACAGAAATAAAAGCTGAAGCTACCTGAAACACACCTTGTGATTACAGATGGAGTTTACACCTTCAAGAACTTCAGCATCAACAGCAGCTGTAAGCATATAGAACAAATATCTTATCAAATACGGCAAATGAGTGATTCACAGGCTAAATTTCATGTTACTTATTTCAAATTAAATCTAGGAAGTGTCACTGAAGTGAATAGAAGGCTGATCACAGACAACAAAAAGCTGGCCTACTACATAACGTTAAAAAAAGCATGGACATAAGATCACTCTAAACTAACGTGGTTGTCAAGCAATCCAAAGCTACAGTGTGAGTTCAAATATAAATTTCCTTGAATCTACTAGTGTATATGGGGCATTCAAATCACCAAAGACAGCATCTGACTTTGAAACACTCTCTCTCAGACAGAGTCCAGTTGGTTCTGATTTTTTATTTTTAATAAAACTTCTGTTGCTCAGCTTCGTCTTTGAACTTGGGTATTCATCTAATTTTGTTCCTATTTGTCCATTTTTTTAAATCAACAATGAAAATGTCCCACAGAACTTACGATCTCAAAAGAGCTCGACATTTTTCTTCCTTGCCTTTAAGATGTAATAAGAATTTTCCATTCCCTTGACTTCAAAGTGTGACTAGTTAAAGACTGATACAGTGATGGACTATTCAATGTTCACCATTCTTGGTTTCATGCACATCAGTTCAGCGGCAACAACCTTTGCTTTTGAAATCTAAGCACTTGAGAATTTCTGAAAGAAAATTAGAGCAATTATTACATTATCTTCCAGCACTCAGGCACAGAAGGAGCAGAGTTCATCATGAAAAGTGACTAAGTATAGCGATTAAATTAATTTTAATTCAACAGCATAGGACACATGCAACATCCAATATTAGAAAATACATAAACTATCTCTTTGCTTGTCTGTACAAAATTTACATAAACTAATATATGATAGAAACTCAATCATTTAATAGACTAAACAGGTTGTCTACAGTGTCTTTCAGATACATCTGTGGCATAATTCAATGTGTTTTCATCAAATAATCCACCAGCACCTTGAATCAAGGGAAAATATTCCTTCAGCCATAAGGGATTTAATTCCTGGAGGTTTGGAAGTGATTAAGTGCTAGACCATACAACTCATTCACAGGAAATGAAATCCAACACAATTTTATTCCCCTCAACATGTTTACATATGCTCTGAACTTCAACTAGCTGGAGTAACCCGACGTCTTCTTTAAAATTCACATCACTCAGCAGCAGAACTTCGGCTTCCCAGTGTAGGCAGAGAATGTAAATAAAGTGCTGGTGACATCACTGTTTTCCAAAGCAAAGCTTTTATGGGCTGACAGGGACTTTCTGGCTTCTGTTGATGGTGGGGTAATCCCACCGTAATTGTCATTGAGAGTTTCAAGCCCAATTTTTGCCAATAATGGAACAAAACTCAATAAATAAATAAATAAATAAATAAATACATACATACATACATACATAAATAAATAAAACCCAACAAAAGCATACACAAACCAAACAAAAACAAACACCAAAACCAAATCAAACAAAAAAAATACCAAAAATACCCACATGACAATAGTTCTGAAGACTAAACTCCCCTAGTAGCTGTCTCTCTCAGATGGTATTGTTGTTTTAAGGTCATATCACCAGAAGGTTTATTTTCTAATAAATACATGATGCTATAGAAATTAATTTTATTTTTCTTTAACAAAATAGTAACAATGCATATTCTGTTTGCATCAAAATGGGATAAGTAACTTTATTACTAAAAAATACCTTGATAAAAGTAATTTTTTTATATGTTTAAGTGGGAAGACTGTAGGTTATGCTAAGGGCTGGTCTGTCTGGCAAGGCACAGCTGACACAATGAGAAAAAGTATTCATAGCACCTCAGTAATATCCAAATAGCCCTGGAGAACAGACAGGTTTACAGGTTACCCCTGTAAAATTAAGGGTTTTTTCAGTCTTCAAATATGTGCTCTGGTAAGACTACAGTAAATGATGGAAAAACCTCACTTGTTCCTCAGGGTAGAATTTGGGACACACGAGACATTTCTTTGACAGATTCACTCAAGCAATGCAGCCTTCAGCTCACTGCATATGAACCACCCAGCTCCTGTTACACCATATAGCATCTGCCAAGAAAAGACAATTACACTCCATCAAATCCTAAGGCTGATCTGAAAATCACACCTAAAAGGGGTAGAGTTAGTAGAAGAGAGCAGTCAATAAACATTAAGAGGTGAAAGCTGTGCAGATAGGTCCAGGACTTGGTGAATGCCCTTTTTACTATAGTCTCTTTCACAGGCTCTGTAGACGTAAATAATGCAAAATAAAAGGCATTTTAAGATGTGGCTCTTCTGTACTTAAACACAGGAAAGGAAAACCTGCAGCTAAGTACAAGAGCAGTCATTCATCCCATGCTTTTTGAAACAAGCCCACTTAGCTCTAAGACAAGCTGAAGATTAGATTAACAGCAGTATGTCTATTGCATTTTATTAAAGATCTTCTCCAAAGCTTTGTTCCAACTATTAAATGAGGGGAGACTGAGAAATCCATGTCAGTGATATTGGGCAATCAGCCACGTAAACTGGTTGGGTCTATACTGTAATAAAATGTTACACACCAATTACATACCCTCTAAAGAGGGGGGGGGGAAGAAATCAATGAAATTTCACCACTGAAAAGTAAGACAGACATTTGAAAACTTCTGGTAGTGAAAACTTCTTACTTCTGGTAGTGAGGCACCTCCAGTTCACAGATGGCTCTTAAATACCAGTGGACTGAGTTTAATTGTTAGGAAAAGGCTTCTTTGTTGTGAAATCTGCCACATAAACTGTTGAACAGTTACCAGTACATTCAAATAATATAAAGTACCACTAGCTAGTTCAAAGTTCAATTGCAGTATAGCTACATGATTAGGACATTTGTAACTCTTAAATTATGTCCCTCACTAGCAAACAGTCACTGTACAATAACATCTTTAAATTATGGTTCCAAGCTTCCTTAGATTCAAGTGGCAATCTCAAGAATAGGGCATCTGTTCCTGTTATTTTAGCCACTTGCATAAAACAAACAAAAAAAAAAAGAGAGAGAGAGAGAAAAGAAGTTTCTGTTTATTTCAGCATATGTCATGAAGAATCAAAAAAATGTCTGATATTTTTTATACCTGTAATTCTCACAAACTGGATACCAAACACATTTTTAGAACTTCAGTCTAGTATAAAAGTAACTGATCCATTAACTAACAAAATATTTTCTGTGTTACAAATGCATGTCTCAAGAAGCCAAAATACTCCTGAAATATGGAGACTCTTGAGAAATTACATATTGCTATGCTAAAGTTAGCATTCCACCTGTGTGGGGTTGCTCGTATGATCTCAGCACTGACAGGTAATAGACTGTGAGAGAACACTGTCCAAAGACTCTTGGGTTTCCCAGTATTTTTTCCATCTATCTAGTGAGAAAATTAATAATTATGATCAATTCTGATCTTAACTGTAACCCTCTGATTTCAGAAAGTGTCCAACATATGCTGAGGTAAACTGAAAATATCAGAATGACCATTAAGTTGTTCGTGGTATCATAGCAAAACTTTCTTCTTTTTTTCCTATTGAGTAAAATGGAGCACTAGACCCTGTAAGTGCTTGTTCTACCTATTTATCTAATACAAGCCACATTTTTGAGGAGAATGCAACACATATGTGCAACATCTTATTTATGGCAGCGATTCTGCTCCATGATAAACCTGCTGGTGATTGTACGTTGCTGTGCATTGACCATACTTTCTTCTTTAGCATTTTCTTATTATGTGTTGTATGGATTTATGACATTTTTACACATCAGTCATCTTATTGAACAATTTTGGGTTTTTTCTCAGTTTGGATGAGAGAAGAAATATACTTCAAAAAAAGATACTTGTTTAAAACATGCTTAGCTTTTGGAGAAACAGCATCTACTGACAAAATACAGAAGCAAATATAAGAGCAAGTCTGGTTTGTCTGCTTCAAAGACAAGGAGCCAAAACCAGCTTTAAAATAGCACAAATCCCCACCTCATATTAGAACACTAGAAAGCACATACAATACTCATGGACATATAATGCTCATGGGCAGGTATTTGTAAAAAAGGCGGTACCTGGAGAACACAAGAAACACACAGTAGTGAAGTTTCCAAATCCTGAGTAGTGGAGAGAGGAATAGTGAGTGGATTGAACAGCAATAGAACCAAACCTGCTGAATTTTTGCTCGCTGTCAGGGCAAGACTCACTAGATGGCACTGCGACACATCCAGAGAAGGTGCTGGAGAGGATGTTTCCCTTAGAGTAAAAGCGAGGTTCTAGTCTGGGGGACAGAAGAGCTGAATGTCTGCAGTTGCTTGTTGGAGTTTGTATTTCTGGGATGCTCTCTGAACTTTAAGTTCTTTAGGGTGTTAATAAAGCAGATAGGCTCTCTGGGGATATAGTTTAGGTAGAATATCTGAGTATGGACAGTGTCTGAATGTTGTATATAGGACAAGTGGCATCTGTAATATACCAAGCGTTATTTTTCATTCAAGGTTCTTGTGTACTTAGGGACATACTTTTCAAATTTTTCACGTGGTATATATTTTAAATTTACTCACATTTCATTTCAGCTATGTTGACACCGACAGATAATTTTGAGGCACCAACTTAGTGGTTTGGGCAATGGCAGGGAGTGCCAAGAAATTTTGAATTCAAGCTAAGCAGTTATGATTACATTTCTTTGGGACAGCCCAACAGTGTGTTCATCCCTGAGGTTTTCACAGTGCAAAGCTGTGGAGCCTGATTTTTGCCCAGTGTACCAAGATGCTCCATACAGCCTCCTCTCCCATGAGACAGTGGGACAGAATATGGAATCGTATTCACAATTCCTTGGGACACTGTTTTAGACTGACATAAATATACAGATGCAAGGGGGTTTTAAAGGTGCAGACCAAATTATTATGAAAGCAGATGAAAATGATGACAGTGCTCCTAAAAATGAATGGAAGCTGGATAAAGCACAAACTTGTCTATATCAAGGAGCATCAAATAAGTGCCTGCAAGGCTGGGGGGAAGGAGAGAGTAATTTGGCAGCAAAAGCTATTATAAGAAAAAAAAATGCAATTTAAAACAAATCTATTACCTGGCACCAAGTGCAGACCATTGTCAAGAATAACAAATCTAGAAATATTGAATAAGCTGATTAAGATATTTATATGCAACTAAATGGTTTGGAAAAAGAGGAATAGGCTTTGATTCCACTCTGTTTTCCTTTGTTCAAGCAGATTGCTCTGTTGGTATTGGTTCTGTTACAATAAAGCAGCAATTCAAACATATGAGACCCTTTCTTACTAGAGATGCTTGTCTCCATGATTACATTAAACCCTGGGGAACTGACACATGTTGACAGAGGAGAACCAGATCTCTGGTTGGAGTAGGCTGCACACTGCATAATTTTGTATTCTGTTTGGATAGGTAAGACCCACAAAACCAATCATTTCTATAAATCTGATTACATACATTTTTAACGTATTCACCAGACTTATCAGGGTTCATGCTTTGAGCAGAAGGCAAACACCCTTCGTAGCAGCTTCATACCACCTCTGTACCTCATTTGAGATTACATTTT